TGGCTTCTTTGTCTCAGTCTTTACTGCTGAGGCTGGCCCTTGTGAATCCCAGACTCTGGAGGGAAGGGAGAAAGTCTGGAGAAAGGAAGACCTTCCCTTGTTTGAGGAGAATCAGGTTAGAGGTCATTTAGGCCATTAGACCTGACCACCACGAATCTATGGGCTCCAATGGGACCCACAAGTCCACATGCCCCAAAGGGATACACCCATGAGAGCTGAGCAGATGTTATTGCTAAACCATTCTTTATCATCTTTGAAAGGTCATAGAGAGCTGAAGAGGCGTCTGAGGACTGAAGAAAAGCCAGTGTCACTCCAGTCTTCAAAATGCAAGAGGAGGACTCAGGAAACTACAGGTCAGTCAGCCTCGCCTTCATCATGGTCAGGAAAGGTGATGGAGCAACTAATTATGGATGTCATCTCTAGGCATGTAGAGGAAAAGATTGTCAAGAGCAGTCAGCATGGATTCACCAGGAAAAGTCATGCTTGATTTCTCTGAAAGCCTTCTAGGATGAAATGACCGGCTGGGTAGATGGGGAAGAGCAGTGCGTGTTGTCTACCCTGACTCCACCAAGGCTTTCCACACTGTCTCCTGTAACATCCTCATGGGTAAGCTCAGGAAGTGTGGGGTGGGTTAGTGGACAGTGAGGTGGAGTGAGAAGTGGCTGAATGGCAGTGCTCAGAGCGTTGTGAGCAGAGGATGCAAAACTGGGAGTAGTGTCTGACACACCAGAGTGCTGCACTCTCATTCAGTGGGACCTGGACAGGCTGGAGAGTTGGTGGAGAGAAACCAAATGAAGTTCAACAAAGGCAAGTGCAGGGTCCTGCATCTGAGGGAGGACCAACCCCAGGTGCCATGACAGGTTGGGGTCTGACCTGCTGGAAAACAGCTCTGTGGAGGCAGACCTGGGGGTCTCAGTGAGCAACAAGCTGTCCATGAGCCAGCAGTGCCCTGGTGGCCAAGAAATCCAATGGCATCCTGGGGTACATTAGGAAGAGCATTGCCAGCAGGATGAGGGAGGTGAATCCTGACCGTCTCTTTAGCCCTAGAGAGGCCACATCTGAGTTCTGTCTCCAGTTCTGAGCTTCCCAGTTCAGGGAAGAGAAGAAACTACCGGAGCAGGTCCAGCAAAGGACTGTAGGATGGGGGACTGGAGCATCTCTCTTATGAGGAAAAGCTGAAGGAACTGGGCCAGTTTGTCTGGAGAAGACATGACCAAAAGTGTGGTATTCACATATTCTTTGAACAGAGAGAGACACAGACTTTCCCCAGCATTTTCCTGGGGAAAGTCTGTGAAAAAGCTCAGACAAAGAAGAAAAACAATTCTTATCTTCACTTGCTGCATCTGTTGTTTGGCACATGTGGAATGTGTTATGGAGATTGATTACCAAAAGGGATTTCTTAACTGGACACTGGTGATGGTGTTTTGGATTGATTGACCAATTAGATCAAAGCTGTGTTGTGACTGTCTGTAAGGGTCATGGGTTTTTCTTTAGTATAGAAGAAAATACATATACATACAAGTATTAGTGTAGTATGTAGTATGATATAGTATAGATTATTAAAGCATTTGTTTAGCCTTCTGCAGTCATGGAGTCAAGGCTCTTTATTCTCACATTGGGGATGCCCTGCCACAATACAAAAGGGGATCTTATCAGTGCTTATAAATATCCTAAGGGTGGGTTTCAAGAAGAGGGGATCAGGCTCTTTCCAGTGGTGCCCAGTGACAGGACAAGGGGCATAAACTGAAACCCACTTTCCTGTGAGAGTGACAGAATCTGGAACAGGCTGCCCTGAGAGGTGGTAGTCTCCTCTGGAGATACTAAAAGCTCACCTGGATGTGAAACTGCTTTAGCAGGGGGGTTGGACTAGATGCTCTCCGGAGGTCCCTTCCAACCTCAACCATTCTGTATTTCCATGATCACACTTGGTTAGCCAACATGGTCTTTCAGAAGGCTCTGTTTTTACAGTGTGTCTGGCAATACCCCAGCTTGCCTCATCAAATTTAGGATGATCGCTTTTGACATTTGTCTTTCAAAAACACAGTGATCTCTTCAGCTACTGTTCTTTTTTCCCCATGTGCTTGGCTTATGTTTCTCCCTGTTTGTGACTTTTACAGATGTCTCTTTTATATCTCCTATTTAGCAGTTCTTTCCAGCTACCCTCTTAACATATTAAAAGGGAATAAAGCCATCTATATAACAGAAAGTTACACTTAATGCCCCTGACAGGTGTACTTGCTTTTTCCTCCCCCCTAACTCACCTGGCACCCTCAGTCACCACTGTGTGACACTGCTTCCTAGGACAAACCCTCGCTGTGTTCCCTGAAAGCTTTGATTAGTTAAAGAATAATCCGTGGAGAAGTGTGCAAAGTGCTTCTGTGAGAGAGTCCTTTGGTGCTGCCACAGAGCTTTCTTGTGGAGAGGAAAATGCGTTACAGAGGCTTTTGGCAGACTGGAAACCTTTTCACCTGATGGCAGTGAAGAGTACTGGGCTTTGATGTGCCATTTGACTCAGATCTGTCAAATAAAAGTGCAGTCAGAGAGAGTGTCTGTATCCCCTTCCAGTACATCTAGTGGAAAGCAGCTACCACAGAGGTCTCATCCTTTTCTGCACTCTCTGGGAGATTAGGATTGTCAAATTGAACAGAAGAATCATAAAATAGTAGAGAATACAGTTAATTGGGAAGATTTATAGACTTGTTAGCTGGAATGTTTCTTAATTTAAAATGTCATGTATTCCCTGAAGGGAGACATTACTTCTAGTTGAAGCCTTAATTGGAATGGGCTAATTTTCAATGCTGGGACTACTACTACTACTGAAAAACCCTTTAATCTTGAACAGAGAGAGAGCTATTTAAATTTCACAAGCTGTAAAAGTGTCAGGAGCACCAGTTTTAGCTTTCTCTCCTGAGGCCACAGAGGAGACTAAAAGGTGAACAGCAGCACTAGGCAGTTGTGAGAAGATGTTTTCTTCAAATGGTTTTGCCTAGAGCTGACTTGAAAATGTCACAACTTTTTTTTCCCCTTTTCACTTACATGGTGATGCTCATGGTCTCATACTGGAATTGCTTTGAATAAGTGTATCTTGGTAGGTTGCAGTTCTAATGCTTACAGGCTGGGCAAAACTGAGATATCTTTCTGAAAATTGAATTGTCTACTTGTATGAAGAATAATCAGTAGTATTATTTTTTTTAAATGTTTTCAGATATCACCTAGGGTCAATGTCTGCAACCAGGTCATGCCGAGGGAAGTACTCTATATGACTTTAATGCCCTGCATTTGTTGTGATGGTATAATGTACTCTTGTCTCATATTTCTTCCAATACAATTTCAGATTCTTATGTTATCTAACTTATTTTAGGCACTTGTTCCTATCTGCTCTACTAGGAAAGAACAATATTTTTCATGTGTAAATAGATGTATGATCCTGAAGTGGAGAGTCTAAAGTAGAAGCATAGGTGCCACAGAGGAAAAAAAGAGGAATAATTGTCGCCCATTATGCAGAGATTTTCAGCTGCAGAGATTTTGCAAAAAGCATCTAAAGCGTCATGGTTTTGTTTTAGGTAGTCCTGCAAAGATCAGGGAGTTTGATCTTGATGGGTCTCTTCAAACTCAAGAGATTCTGTGATTGTGAGCTCAGGTGGAGTGTATGCTTCCCTGTGCCTCTCAACATTTTGGTGGGGTTGGTGTTTTAGGAGGAGTCTTTTGGAGATTTTATATTGCTTTGTTCTGGATGCACCTTATGAGGTGTCACTGAATTGTCTCAGTGATTTGCTCTCCCATGAGAATGAGTAGTCCTCGGATATTATTTCTCTTTCCTTTCTCCAGGAACAAATTATTGTTAATTGGTTAATTATTGTTAATTCCTACTCTCTCACTAGCATGGGAGGACACTAGTTTCTCTGTTTACTTCTTTGTTATAAAGCAATGAAACACAACTTTGGAGGTCTGAGTGCATGAGAATGTAAAGTGGCAGAAGATGTTCAGTCAAGTATCATAATCTTAAAAAATAACTTTTCATGACCTTCCTATGGCTTGGAGGTGCCAGACAGGGTTAAATGTGCTCCAGTCCTGCTAGCAGCTGCTGCCTGCCCAAAATGAGGGACCCAGGGAAGCTGTGACAAGCAGGGATCACTGGGGATGCAAAGGAGGATCTGGGATGGGAGCAAGGCAGAAAATGGTGTTGTGAGATTTCCATGGCAACAAGGTGTCTGACAATGGGTCATCTGTGACTCCAGTGCAGAAATAACTCCTCAAGCCTTCTGTAAATAAATAAGTGCCTGGAGCTTGATCCTTCACTGGTATAAGTTCAGACTTGTGTGGTTGCTTTTGATAGATGACTCATGCTGTGAACATATAGCTTGTGGAAAGAGAAAAAATAACTTAGAGTTCCCTGGTGCTTTTTTAATGCTTTTAGAAAGTCTGTCTCTTTTTAGTGTAGATTATTTTTTAAAAAATATAAGCATAGGTTCCTGAAAATATTATAATTTTTATAACAACAGTTTGGTTTATGATGTCTGCTAAGTCTTCTATGAAAATCATCCATAACTCTACAGTTCATAAGAGCAAAGGTAGAAGCTTATAAAGCCCAATGGTTTTGATTCAAAAATTCTGTCCTCTGGAGAACATTCCCAAAGTCAAATCCTATTTTGCATAATTTGTGATGCTTTAAAAACATCCTGGACTCCCCTGCTTAGAATTAGAATGAATGTGTTTGAGCTAACTGCTGTGTTTTGAAATAAAGCTAGAAAAATGACTATAAAGTGGTGTTGACAACCAAACCAAGCATAAAGCTATAAGTATCTGATAAAAAATAAAATGTCAGTGGTAAGACAAAAAGGAACAAATTCTATCTAGTTCTCTTTTCTGTACTAAGGCCTGACGTAGATTTTAACTAACTTGTGACACCATCTTTTCATGGCAAATGTTTCTGAAGGTTCCCAGTGTCATAAATAGTATCCATTAGCATCATCCCTTTGGTTTCCTTAGCAACTGAGACAATCAATTCTATGATAGTTTTATCTGCACAGAAAAGCACCAGCTGCCAGAGTTATGGACAGAAGTACATAAAGCAGGTAGGCTGGAATCTATTTGTCTACAGACAAGCTTTATTTCTTTCTCTGCTTCTTTCTGTTTTATGAATTGCAAGTCTTTAATCACAAATTAAGCACAAATCTCTTCAAACTGTGCTGTGCTTGTGTGTCAGTGATGGTTGATGCTGACTCTAAGGGATTCTCAAATCCATTCAGCTCAGCTGCAAGAAGCTTGATATTTTACCTTCACAGCCTGAAAACCTTCTTCGTTTTCATATTATGGATTGGGTGTGAATATATCACTTTTTTTTTCAAGTATTAATTAGAAAATTGCAACATTAAGGCCGTGCTGGGACTTGTTTCAGTGGGTAAAGGAAAGGGGCCTGGTTGCTGCTGCTGTTTTCTTCATTCCTTTCCAGTACAAAAGGGGTCACATGCAGTTGGTGTTTTCTGTCATTCAGATCCACTCTGAAGAAGAAATTCGAAAGCAAAAGGCATAAATTGTTCTGCAGACTCCACTTGTAAAGGATAATATGGCTGGGAGAGGTATTCCTTTAAAATATATATATTATAAATATTTTTATTTTCTGGAGTAGCTTCTTTAATGTCCTGCTGAAGCTTCAGTCCAACTCTGTATGATTCTGTCTGCAAAAAGGCTTTCTTCTGTTAATTTGCACTGCATTGTCAGTACCAAATATCAATAGGGAGGCAAATAGTGCTATGATTGTGAGTTATTGGAAAAACTCTATACTATTTACAGAAAAGGTAATTTTTTTCTCCTTCTTTAATTTTTCTTCATTTCTTCAGAGTCTGACAGCTGGATGTATTCTGAAGAAATACAGCACCTTAGATGAAAACATTACTGTGTCAACTGCTGTTCCTGAAACACAGACAAAAGTGCTGTCTTTTTACTTTTGTTCATTTAGATACTTCATTATTAAAAACAAAGTTAATATCAAGCCTCTTGAAGTAGGTGCAGAAGGTCCCTTTGGTTCCTGTGGGGACTTCCCAAGCTAACCATGAAACATAAAAATTTATTAAACAATAAATTCACTGCATGCCTACTTAGTTCTGATGACTGCTGTTCCTAAACTCCAACAGTTTCTGTATCAGTTCTACCAATGCCTAAGCCCACTGTCATGAGTAAGATTCCATGCAGGTTTCTGAGTTTAGTGTTGGAAAAAATCAGGTGGCCGAGTCAGGCTTGCTCACTGTCATGAGTACTGGGAATAGTGCTCACCCCCTGAAGTAATGGGACACAGTAGGATGACTCACTGGCTTTTTTGGGATTCTGCTTCCCCCCAGACACTTTGTGATTCAGTTCCTATAGTTGCCATGAAAGAGCTGTGACAAGTTCAGACAGATGGCCACAGAGAACTGTATTCCAACTTAACTGAGGCCATGAACTTTTTTAGAATGTAAGAATATCTTCATAGTTTCACTAATGTAGGGCTTGGAAGCTGCTCAGCAGTCTTCCAGCACCATTCCCTTTGTTCCAGTGGAACTTCAATGTGGCACTTGCCTGTTAGGATTCCAGTGAGGATATAAGCTCATTTGATCTGAGTGGAGGAGGAAAAAGTCATGGCCTCTTGGACATTTTGGAGTTGTTGCTCAATATCTCATGTGAGTGCTGACATTTGTCATCAGTTTTGGTTTGGCCATGGTGTAAGGTAGAAGTACTCAGTGTGCATGCAGATTTTTTTTCCCCCTCCCTGCATATAACAGATGAATTTGCATCTAGCTGTCATGACCACGTGTCCCTTTTGGGACTGTGTAAGCATTTTTCCCACACACACCTTCTTTTTTTCTTCATCTCCCACTTTTTTTTTAATCACCTTGATATTGTTGTCAGAACTCAGCACAACAGATCTGAGTTCACTTCTTCCTACTGGTCAGCACTGGGATGAGCAGCAGTCTCTCAGGGAATTGCATATTATGGATTTGATGTTTGTATGTTCAATGAACATGTTAAGTGCAATTGCAAACAGGTTAATAGTGTGGATTCTTGGCTGACAAATACAGGTATCCCCCTACTAATTACCATTCCCAGAATTAGATTTTTGGCTTTTGCAAAATCCCAGGATGCATTTGCAGATCTGATACTTAAAGCTGTTATTATTTACTCGATTCACAGTGTGTTTGGTGGGGGTGTGGAGAAAATGCAATTTCAACACTAAACTAAGTGGGGTATGAACACAGATATATAGGAACATTTGAAAATTTGTTCATGGACAAACTGCCAGGTACTTGAAAGACCCCAAATAATATTTGGCTCAGCCACTTTCTGAGCAGTCTCTCAAAATTCAGGGAAACTGCCAAAACCTAATAATTATTTTGAGATGAGATGTCCTTATCTCCATGAGCTTTAACCAAAACATGGTAGCCACCACTGACACTTTGGGTTTCTGCACTGTCCCTCTTCCATGGTGACAGGGAAGTGCAGATTGTAAACAGTTGATGGAACAAGGTAATATTGATGAAAGCAGTCAATATATGTTTTCACTGGGCATACAGATACCATAATGATGGTACTGTTCAATGGTTGGCCTAAAAAATTGTTAGGTATGACTTAAAACAGGTCTTGAGCTTCAGTGCAATCCATATGCTCAGTTAATACTTTTTAATTTTTTTTCACCCTCTAATGCAAGTAGAGGGTGAAAGTGTGAGCAGCATAGGAGCAAGCAAGTCATTCTCTATTGACCAAGTGACTTGGGAATGTGTGTGTATATCTTTGTGAAAATAAAGGCTACAGAAAGAACTTACAACCAAATCAATTGAACTAATTTTTTTTTCTTCATTCTTTTCAAGAAGTGGTTCATGAATCAACTATTGCAATACTCAGGACTTCTGATAATTAGGACAACCACATAACATGGGAGTTCTGCTGTGTTTAGATAGCTACTGACCTGGAAAAGAATTCAAAGGATCCAAGCAGAAATGAAGTTTAATGGACCCTCAGGGCAGGAGAAAGAGGAGAATTTCCAGAAATGCTTGTGAAAACACCCAGGACAATTTCAAATGTGATGGTCCCAAGTCAAAAGCACTTTTGGAAAACAGGAGGAAAAATTTCTGCTGAAGAATTGATTGAACTCTTTGACTTTCATAATTAATGCTTGAAAACATCTTCTCTGTAGAAGCTTTGTACAATATTTTATTGCCCTACATTATAAATATTTATTATATAAACAACTACATACCACATAAAATCAGGGCATATGCAGTAAACCATTTTTCAGGTGGTTTTCCCTCAAGGAAATAAAATGAAATAATATTATAACACATAAATATTACTAAGGATATGTTAGGTGTGCAAGGCCTTCAAGAATTGAAAGTACATTTTCAAAATGAAATCTTTACCCAGCAAATTAATCTGCAAGCACAGTTACATTTGCTGTAACTAAAATGCTGTGTGAAAGCATCCTATTTAGAAATACTGCATCAAGAGATTTCATTGGCATTTCAGAAACAGGAGGAATGTTGTTATTAGGTTTCATGTCTTTTTCCACTCCACCAGCCTTTGTAAGCTACTTTGTATGACACTACTTGTGTCAAACACCTCAATATAGATTTGGTATTAAAGCAACATCAGCCTAAGTGCTTTCAGCAGTCATCCTTATCGTGAGAGGATCTGTTAACTATCCCGTGAAATGGGCTTGTTGGAAGCCAACAGCCTGGAATAGGGAATGAATTACTTGCCTACCATCAGCCCTCCTTTGACAGTGTACTCAGACTGAGTTCTAGTCTGGCAAAGTGTGATAGAAATATACAGCTTGCTCATGTAAAAGTGTTCACAGCCACTCTTCTATGCAAACAGCTCTGGTGGGGAACAGCAGAGCAATGATCCTGCAAACAGCTCTTTTCTTGTAAGGCATCTCCCATGTTCATCTAGAAAACAGTTTCACTAAAAAAAGTTTAAAAAGTGAAGGTTCTGCTAACTCTATCCTTGCAGCTCTGTGGTTAATTCATTTCTGATTTGGAAATAGGTTAGTAGAAGTGGCAGTGGCGGATTGCCCTCCTATCACTGCAACAGAAGTTAAAATTGGATGATGCCCCATATACTGCAAGCTAGGTAGTCTTCTGCTAAAGAGAAAACAGGATACTTTAAATTAGTGTTTTGTCCCTTGAAATCTGCATGCCGTATTAACAGGGTGATTTCATTGCCATCTATACACCACCAGCCTGGTCTGGAGTTGATTACTCATTTGACTGGCTATTTGACTGGCAGGAACTGAGCAGGGAGACTTTCCTTATATAATATTGGAAAAAAAGATTAAATTGGTGAAGCATTCAGGCTGCTAATCCAATACTTAGTCATTGCAAGAATCATCTGTTTTGGTTCCAGAGACCCTGGTTTCCTATGATACTGCTGAATTTAGCATTCAGCTTAATTCCATTTTCATTCACCTTCAGCCCCCAGTGAAATATCATTGCCCACCTACAGGTTAATTTGACAGCATGAAACAGCAAAATGATCCCTTTTCAGAGTAAGTATTTTAATTTTAGATTGCTAATAACCATAGCACAGTCATGATGTGGTGATGTGGAAGTGCCTGTGGTCTCAGCAAGACACAGAAGCCATCAGTGTTTTATGAGTTTATCAGAGTGCTAACCTTTCCATAGGAATTTCCTGCTCCCTTCTTAGAGTGGGATTTCAAAGAAGACAGGTACTAATATTCAGAAACAGCCTGAGAATGAAATGTTCTTTCTTGGGCTGTACCAGGGTTCATTCATGCTTGTGAACATCAGGGGCTTGGTTTGCAGAGTAACTTGAATGAAATGAGGCTTTTCCCAACAGAGCTTCCCAACAGTCCTTTCTGAAATAAATGGAGTGGCTGATGGCTCTCAGAGCTGCAGATGGTACAGAGATACAGTGCTTTAGCTAATGCAGTGATGGGGCTTGCCTTTTTTTTCTACCACAGATTATCATCACACTGAAGTATTTTGCCAAGAAATACTTAACAAGTTTCACAAACACTGTTTAATCTCCCCACCTTTCTAAAGAAGCTTATATTTGTTGTGGCTGTAAAGAGTGGCACTTGAACTGGCTGATGTGCATGGATGTTTTTGACTAACAGAAGAAACTTTTTTTTATTGACCATTCTTCTTTAGCTTTCTCCACCACAGAACCTAAGATGTGTCTACATGGAAACTTTCTGTGAATGTAATATGCACTTGTAGAAAAAGGAACTGGTAGCCACCTCTTGGCAATTGCCTTTTTTAGTGTTGAATTAATTATCTAACCTCAAGTCAATATCAGAGCATTTTTCAAGAGTATTAAACCTTGCGTTGCAAGCAGTTGCATAAGTGCGCCCTTGGAAAAACAACATCTGTTGCCCTTTGTTTTGTTGCCTGTACATCTGTAGCACCCAAGAGGCAAAGGTGTCTCCTGAGGGCCATCTGACAATGCACTATCACAGGCATGCACAAACATGACACCCTCGCTGTGCATTTCCTCATGGCGTTAGACACAACACTAGAGCCTGAAGAATGAAGACACTTCTAATAAAATAAAGTCTCTTTTTTTGGTCAGAGATGTGGGAGATGAT